GTATCCAGATATGGTAACTCAAAAGATCTCTAAAAAATCGATTTTGCTAACCCGCTGGGCAATGCTCTCTGTACCAACTCTTCACCAATGGTACATCAATCGTTCTCCGGGTTCTACCAGATCGGATATTGAAGGGTCTCGGAGCCCAAAGTAAAGCAATTCCATTACCGGTATTATCAGTGTACAGTGGGACCTAAAATGTGTATTTTGGTCACCGTCACATAGCAGCAACAAGCAAATAACTTACCTCCTCAAAGATGGGCGCTACGTCTTCTGGAAGTTCGAATTCCTCCATTTCGTCATCATCGGGGAGATTTTCTACTGTCTAAAGGTGAACAGGTTAGTGTCTAAACGACGCTGCATATTGAGGTAGGCAATTTTAAGGATTGTTCCGCCATAAATCTAGATCGACATTACAACATTACTATTGTCAATCACGCCTACGACGTATTTTCTTTCGCGCAATCATTCAGGGAGATGCCGAGACTTGAGGCATAACCCAACATATTTGCGCTTTTTCACATTCCTATTTAATTGCAGTTCATTTAGAAGAGATCAGGACAAACTCTACAAAGTGAACTAGGACTAAATTACAAATTATACTCTAACCTTTTCTAGTCCACTTATTGCAATAGGGTTAATCAGCGGATCGAAATAGAACGCTGGTAGATCTGGATCCTCTGTCTTGATGAAAACCACTGAAGGAGTATGATACCTGAAACCACAGAGAATTAGGTCAGCTATAACTTCAAATAAATTTTGCAGAAAGCAGTAATTTTAAACTGACCAAGAAACCTGCACAGGCAAAGCATTCACTAAATTGTTGTACATGTAAGGAAACGCAATGCGATATTCTGTTCTGATAGGAGCTCGAATGATCACTTTGTTGATATCGTTGAACTCATTCCAATCCTCATCACTGGAAAATGATCGATAACTACAATTATACACCTAGTTAAGTAACGAAACTTACAGGTTGATATCCTTGATCAAAGGCTCGAACTTCGGGCCTCCGGGAATTGCAACATTCAATGCTTTGGCTGTGAAGAATGATTTCAAATCAAATAGATAATAGTAATTATCGTCAGTCAAATCAGTGAGAAGCTGATTAGCCAAACGATATAGGGTTGCCATGATCGGGATACTGAACGCCCATCGTCTGTAGGTCGGTCCGTTCACAAACCTGGACAAAATACAACTTTAATACGTGCCAAAAGTCAAGAAAAATAGAGTAGTGTTTACCTTGTGGAGGCCAATGGCTTGTGATCGTAGAACCATTCATTTACGGTTGCATCTTCCTCAGGATCTAAGTCCATCTGGATAGG